ATTAAATTAGAGTGAACTACATATCAGTCATTACTAAACCAGGATTTATGTGAAAATGTTTTTCATATATTTGTTGAAAAGTAACTTTTGTAGAACCAAACTCTAGCTGAAGATATTTTAACTTTATCATGCTAGTCATGCAAACTATTTGTTGTTACATGTGACTTTCATTCATTTTCCGCAATGCTCAACATTCATTACCATTTGACCTACCAAGGCTGTTTCAGTGATAATACTGGATAATAAGAGCTACTTTTTCTCTCCCTTCTGTCTCCTCTTCAACCCCATTACCTCTCCCTCTTTCACTCTTCTTCAATGCACCCCCAACCACGTCTCTCTCCATCACCCTGGGCAAATATAGATAAGGGAGAGTTGAAAGGGGGTTTGGAGTTGGTTATGAATTGCTTTAATGAATGTTCATTAATTATTTAAAACTTTACTGAATTAATTACAATATAAAAATATGATTACTAATACATTAATACTGTTGCTAATTGCTCATACTTGTTGTCTTCTGCTTATCTGGGACTATGAAAGGCCAAAATGGCCAAAAGCTGGATGAAACATGCAAGACTGTTCAGAGGAAATGGCACTCAACTGAATGATATATAAGCAAGACTGAATTGAAGTGCTTGCAAATGAGTCACTTACACACACACACAGTGAATGAGAGTGTAGTCTACAAAAGATAGAATGAAATACAAGCGAGACCAAATAAAATGTAAGCTAGCAGAAACAAAAGTGCACAACAGTGAATTAAAAATACACAAAAAATAAATTAATTGTAAATAAAACTGCTTTTTCTGAACAAATAAATAAAATAATCAATAGATAAACACCAAAAGAAGACTAAACCTGGTGCCTAGATTTCATATTCGATTAAAATGAACAGAGTCCTTATATAACTCAGAAAACAATAACAAAAAATGAACATACTATATGCAATTGTCATTTTAAATTATTGGCTTCCAAATAATATGACATTTTGTTTATATGCCATTTTCCTGCTTAGAAACGGGTTAAAAGTGAATAATTTGGCATTAAGTCAAAGTCATAAATTCACAGTATCCCAGTATCCATCCACTTTACCGTTACCAGAGTGGGGAGAAAAAAAAAAACAAATCCAACTGTTTAAAAAAGAAAAATTAAAACCATTTAAGTTTTAACTGTTCTTGTGCATCGTTTTTTCTTGCTTTTTAAAAAATTCTGTGTTGCTTGTACTATATTCCCCTTTAAGTGCCACTTGGTCACACCAGTCAATTCCGTAACATGCAATCTCCTTTGTTCATGCTCAAATTTAATTCAGTTGTGAGCTCTTTTATTCAGTCATTCACAGTTTTTCATTCTGATCATTCCTGCATGCTTCATTCAGCTTTTGGCTACTTTGGCCCAGATACCTCCTCCTCAAGCCCCTTCCAGGGCCAGCTGAACAAATGTCTCAGCCAACTCAGCTGACTCCTCTCAATAAGGAGGAGAAACGGCTCTACTCTGAGCCTTACGTGGATGGCCGGCCTTCTAAACGTATCTCTACAGGAGTGTTTTGTGTAAGAAGCTAATTTCAGCCACTTATATCTTTCAGTCACTATCAATATTTCAAGACCCTAAGAGAGATAAAAACTGTAGACTTACTGGTAAATCAAGAGCTTTGTCATTTAGCTCATCTCGGTGCAGCATCTGCATTTCAGAGTTAGTTGCACCAAGCTCCCAGCACTCGATTGTGCAAAGGAACCAAAGGAACTTAACTCCAAAACTTGAGGTAGGAGCTCCCCTTTGACTTGAAGAAAGGTATATATGTAAAAAACTAGGTGTCGAATCCATCTTTTTTTCACTGCTTTTGGGGGTTTTTAAAAAACGTTATGGTTTCCCCAAGATGATTCATAAGTTGTTCATAGAGACAATTAAGCAGAAGTCTGTGATCTTAACTTTCACCTGTGCTTTCATTGTGAAATGCCGACTGGAAGATCTTGACAGGAAATGCTATGCGTTGCCAGGGGTAACAGCAGGTCGAAAGAGTAGGTTCTTGAAGGTTGATGAACTACCTAAGATTAAACAATAATTAAAGCCTATATATAAGGCTATATGTAAGGTAAACATGCCCACTGTTATATATACCAACACAGGAATGATAGATTATGGTATGCAATAACTTAAGGCTATATCAGGAGCGAGCGCAGCACTTGCGATTGCTGGGATTGCAAAGTCAATGGCCAAAATGAAAAATGATTTTATCTTAAAAACCAAATTGGCCCTGAAAAAGGTAGCACTGAAATTTTGATTCAATTTGGAGATTAATGGGTGATCGTTAACTTCTGGAATGCCTAAACAATAATCTTTAATATCTGTAACAACAGTAGCACACATGATATGTATTCATTTGTTTGTTTGTTTATTTTACGTTTTATAAATGACTATTTTGAATGCACAAACCTGCACTAATGAAGCACTAACCATTCAGGCTATTTGCTGAGTTTTTTTCTAATCGGTGGGGTGTAAGCTTCACGCAGCTGAAGCTCCTCTAAATTGATTACGCGTTCCAGGGTGTAAACTTTGTGCATCTGAAATGCAGAGTGGTGAACTCCCCTGAGGGGCTCCCGGAAATCACCATGGACACCACGTTCGGCCTGAACGCATCATAACACTGCCTCCCCGTAGCTCAGAGAACAGACCTTAAATTCCTTATGTTAGTCTATAAATCACTGAATGGATCAGCACCATTGCAGATTTGTTGTTCATGTATAAATCTCCCAGACCACTCAGGTCTTCAGGTTCAAGCCTGTCCACCCAGAACTAGAACCAAATATGTAGAAGCAGCATTTAGTTCCTATGCTCCACTTATATGGAACAAACTCCCAGAAGGCTGTAAATCACTGAAAGCCTGAGTTCTTTTAAATCAAAGTTAAAAACCCATGTATTTGGAACTGCCTTTAACTATTAGTTTAAGTTTGTGGTCCAGCTATTTTATTTATTTTACTACCTGCTTTTATAATGTTTTTATCTTTACTTGCTTTTATTTTCCTTATACACTATTGTTCAATTCACGTTAAAGCACTTTGAATTGTCTTTGTACGGAATTGTGGTATATAAATAAATTTATTTAGCTACATGTGTGCGTTTTTTAAAATTATTTTTGGAAGACTCTAGTCCTAGTCTTAAATGAAATCACTCATTGCGTACTGATGTCTGGGAGACTAAAGGCTGTCTGGATTCAGCAGAGCAGTCTGGAGTTCATTTTCTGTCCACCCTGTTTAACCCAGAGAAACTGAAGGAAGATGAACTATGAGAAAAAGACTTACATTTTACCACATATAGATGGAAGGAAGGACTCTTTCAACTTCAGCCAGCAGAATTTGTTAATCTAGACAGAATTCATTAAAACACATAGAGCTCTCTGATACACAGGTCAACCCAATCTAAATTGTGTGATATTTGACGTGGGTATACCATATCAGAATGCCATGATGTTGTATACTCCTTCCACCTTCAGGTATCTGGAAATTGTATCCAAGCATTAAGAAGACTTGTAGAATTTTTTTGTTTTGTTAAATCACACAAGAAAACAGTGCTTTTTCATATGCACAATCAAATACATTTACATCAAATAGAGGCTAAGAAATATGATAGTTCAACCTGCTCTGAATCAGAATATTTCAACCCATGAAATCTTACACCTTTGGAGTTTCCTAAATTTTTAAAAATCATAGTAATCATGTACAGTCCTTTAACACACTTCTCAAACTAAGCACTAATAACATAAATATATGACAAAAGCAATGATTATGACCATAATAAGGATACTGACCTTGCTGTATGTGCACCCTTAACTTTATTTCACAGTAATTTGTCTGAAAGCAGATAACATAGTTTTAAGAATTTAAAATAAAAAAAAACACATTTTGTGCTCTTGTTTGTTTCAATGCACTCAAACAACAACTGTTGATCTCTCTATGTTTTCCTCATCACTTAAAACTCCTATTAGACACAGAAGTGCTACAATATGCAATATATAAAAAACATGGTTTTAAGGGGCTAAGCAAATTAGAACCCTGACAGCTCTTGAAATATTCTGAAATGCTTTTTATATATATATATATAAAAAAAAGTTGTCAATGGAGTTTAAACAATATAAACATTAGAAATAAAACAACAATTTACACTTTTACTCAAATCTTAAAAATTTAAGGCGGTTGAAATATTAAGTCAGACAACCAAGTTAACTGATAACAAGGTGCTTACATAGGACATTCACATCAGGCTCATGAATGTTTCATTTCACAGTAAAATAATATAGTGACACACATAATTGAGATGAGTCATTTAAAAGGAAAAACTAAAAATGGGTTTGAAATCTAAATACATGAAATCAGGCTTACAAAGAACAATCAGCTTACAAATGTTTTCTGATAAATTATTTTTGTCAGGCCTGAGACGGCTCATGGCCGTCAAGTACACATATGTTTAACATACTGCTGCTGTTTTTTTCTAATCTATTTTATTAATTAATTCCAATTGAGCTGTTATTGTTACATTATGATATTAGCCCAAAAGTTAATATCTTAGAGTTATATAATTTAATTGAACTTTTCTTTTAATAGTGCAAGTGAAAACTACAATCAATGTTTTGTTTTTTCCCAAAAAAACTAAAATTTATAACAATAGCAACAAGGGAATCTAGTTGCCCACTAAAAGTGTTTTAGTGTATAACTATAAAAATAAGTTGTTAGCTATAGCAAGATGTCAATAGTTCCTACTTTCAACCACTAAAAATGATAGGTTGGTTCTGGCCTGGTCACAGCTTTTACCTTTTGGATCTGGTAAAAAAACAAAAAACAACTTGTTTCAAACAGTAACAACTAAAATATGATTTAAGATTAAATGTAAGATAAAAGAGAATTCAGAAAATATATTATATAAAATTCTAAGTAATTCCATATACCTTTCTTAAAAGTGAAAAAGGGTAATACTGCTCCTATTCCCCTTGGCTAAAATCTTCCAGACTAAGAAGGGGGTTGGGTTAAATTTGATCTCAAATGTAAATTGTCAGAATAATTGAAGACACATTTTCTTTATTTTGTTTTCTTGTTTGTGGGTAAGTTGCATTTAAAGTACTGACCATGAAACTCTAGCAATGTCGTGTGCATAACAGAGTACAGTATATTGATTACATTTTAGCCATGTAATGAATCATCATGAGCCTTGTTGGAATAAAATACATAAACATCTTACAAATAAAAAAGCTTGAAAAAATGGATAAATGTAATATATAAATTCACAGCCATTAAGTCAGAGGATTCAGTTTAACATTCGAAAACTAAACTTTAGTATGTTGATGTTTGCCTGGTCCTTATCTCTCATAATATACAAAATGCAGAGACAATTCACAATAAACCTCTCAGCAAGCATCAAGGCCCATTTGAAAAACCAGTTATGTTTGTTTGTATATCATCACACATTATACAATATAGCAGGCTGGAAGAAATATAAAGCAAAATAAAAATTAAAATAAAACCCTCAGTTGTTAACATGATTTTGAACTCCTCTTAAGAATACATAGAGGAAGCTGCCATAGATAAATTAGAATATGTATCTCTTACATTCATCCTCAGACTTCCCAGCAGGGAAGCTTTCCGTCTACTTAAATAATGATAATGTACAGCTGCCTTCCCATTGGTCTTTTAGAGATGTACAGCAGACTTTAAAATAAAATCCTATTTCTGGATAAAAAAAGGTTTCCCAATTATTAATTTTAAGGGGGAACCTTAAATAAAATACTGACCTACTCCTGTATGTTAATTAATTCCTCAGACTATGCAGAAAATTTGTAAACATTTTAACTTTTTCTACTTTGGTACAAAAGATATAAATGGCGGTTAATGTAACTGAAAAACAGACGTTTATTGCAGTATGATTTATACTGCATTTTTGCCTGCAGGGACTGGATCCAAACCAGTGAATACTGCACTCTGTGATTCAGGGGACTAAAAACTGAATCCATCTGAATCATTACAAAAATAAAAGAACAAATTAAGTAAAGGTGGCAATAATACAACAGGTGGTGTTTTTTGAAATTACTTTAACACTAGAACCGTAAGAAAATCATTTTTACTCCTTGCACTTTTTCAGCTCTAAGTATAACACTAATTAAACCCTCTGTCTAATACTCTATGGCTTTTACTAAAGTTTCTCTCCTTAACATTGTATTAGGTATAAGATATTTGTGTCATAAAAAGAAAAGGCATTTGACCTTTTATACCAACAACTGCCAAGTAGTCATTTTTATCCCAGAAACACATTATATTATCCTGTAAATCATAAAAAAATATATTATATTTGAATGTGTGGGCTAAGGCCAGAACAAATTGCTTTTGGCCATAACTATAGACTGGTTTTGTTAATTATCTAAAAGCTTGAAAAAGAACAAGATTTGCAAAAAGGTGCAACAAGCTGTTTGTAAAAATTTCAATGCAGGATTTGGATAGAAAAATGTCCTTTTTTGTTTATGAAGGGCTGAAAATCTTTTCACTGCCATATGTACTGAAAACTAACCATAGCAAACATGGGTCTTCTTCTGAGGATGTATTTTTTTTACATTCATTAATCTGCAAATCACTAAATGCCTTCAGTCGTTGGCAAAAAAAAAAAACAAGAACTGCACAAAAAAGAACCGAATGGGCAGAAAACCATTCAATATCAATAAATATAGATTGCTTTTATCTTTGTTTTATAGACTACTATTATTTTATTTTATTTTTTTACTTGTAAGTTAACTACCAACCTTTTCGAAACTTCAACTACATTACAGTATATGCCTGTCGTGACTTAATGTAAAACAAATAGTCCAAATAGCTTTTCTCTGCTGGTTAAGTGTTATTCTCCCTACATAATATATAACAGTTGATGATCAAAAAGCAGTGGTTTTGAATAAAACTTTTGTCTTTTTATGGTCTTAGAAATGGGCTTTAAAACTCTGGCAGTTCGGAGGAGTACTGAAATGATTGCGGTTCTAGGGCTAAAGTTAAACTTTAACATAATTGTATTCAAAACAGAATGCGGTCAGTTTGATAAACCTGATTCATCTAAAACTTCACCATTTACACAGAAAACGTTTCAAATATAGAAACCCATATCTGTACACAATTTTCAATTAAATATATGCAAGGAGGAAGAAAAAGTGTTCTCTTTGCTTGGGTCCCGAAAGTTCGTCAAAAAAATAAAAAGTTTCAGTTTCTTCATATAGTAGTCTCATATTACACAACAGCAAATCCACTGTCACAGGACTTGGCCATGCGATACCCGAAAAACCTAATATCCATTGTCACATATATATATATATATATATATTTATATTCATAATTAATTTGCACTTTTTTCCCCAGATGAATGCTTTAGATAATAATTGAAGTTTTACAAATCTTCACTTCATCTTCTTCACAGTCAAAAGAGATGTGATATACATGAGAGATTAGTTAATTATGGTATAGAATTATCCATTGACTCAGATGTCATACAATGTTCTTGTGTCATTTTAACAACAGAAGGTCCATTTTAAAATCATCTACATGAATTATGATTTATGCTGGGCTGAAACCCCTTTCCAGTAGTCTAAAATATCATGCAGGTCCTCATCTTTTGCAAATTGAACTTTCTTACGAAGAGCATGGCCAGCTGCCATGTACTCTTCATCTTTATGTCGCTTGCGGTGGAGTCTGAATCGCTCCCAGATGCTGTGTGAAGGTTTGCAGTAGTATTCAGGACTAGATGAGTAGCTTAGATTGTGATATTGTGAGGACATCTGGGAATAGGCTAAGTCTCTGGAGCGAGAGTGGCTAATGGGCTCCAACAGCTTGTGGCTATCAGGTCCTTCAAGCTCCTCTATCTGAGGATCGGGATATGAATGCCTGTGGTCACTGTACTGGCGGATCTTGTCTGCCTCAGCCCTCAAGATGGCTGCGGCAGGTGTCACTGTTATTATGCTCTCTCCTGTTGGAGAGGTTTTCTCTATGTACTTGGAGTCAGAGCGATAAGGCCTTGGGCTTCGCATGGGCCCACCTGTGGCAGTGCTGGGCCTCTTCGGCGAGACATCAGAGCTTCTATGCCGCTGAAGAGAGTGATGGTAGCTGTCCTTATAAACTGGAGAAAGAAGGCCAGATTTACTTTGAGGGTGCTCTGATAAAAGAACTAGTTGAGGCTCTGCTGTGGATACTGCTCCAGATTTAACCCCTTGAAAAGAAGTTGATTCTGACTTTAGGGCATCTATACAGTTATTAATTATTTGATTTACTTTATCAACTTCTTTTGCAATTGTGGAAATTTCTGCTACTGATCCTTGACTATTCCCAGCCATTCCCATGTCACACTCCCTACGCTCATGATGATCCATGCTCCGGACATCCATGTAGTTACCCTTCATCATTTTGGGAGTCTCACTTATCTCCTGAAACTTGTACTGCTCCATTTCACTTGCAGATGGTAGGTATGGCATACGGCCCATGCTTTCTCCGGCCATCAGCTGCTTTTGAGACATTCGAGAAATAGTCCCACCTTCTAGTTCTTGTCCATATTTGAGTTCCATTATATTCTTCTTAAGACTGCCTGCTTTCCTTTGCTTTTCGTCTTCTTGACGCTTCCTGCGCAAGCAGTAATAAACAAATCCAAGAAAAATCACCATGCTAAAAAGGCAGCCCAAAATAGTCATAATATAGTGAGTGGCAGTTGTGTTGCTTACAACTCTGTCTTTTCCATTCCAAGGCCCAGTGGAGACTGTTAGACATGTGTGGTTGTGTCTAAGAGCATTACGTATCGAAGCAACACAGTATGTGTAGTTAGTGTGGGGTTTAAGGTTTTTCAGCTCTATGTCTTCCTTTTTGGCCTTTAGTTTTTGAATATCTGTGAAAAAGCTGTTGTTATAAAGTACCAGACTAAACATCTTCAGAAAGGGATTAGGAAGCTGGACTGTAATGGTTGCACCTGTGTTTGTTACTTCCCTAACTTTCATCAGAGGGGTTCCCTCTACATCATTTTCAGTTGTACTGATGGTTAAATCCTCTGGTTCGGTGCCTGAGGGACAGTCTTCCAGCCCACAAAGTGTAACGTCAGGTGGTAGCGTTGTGGACTCCATGGAGACAGTAATAAATGGTGTCACATAGTCGTCAGTACACACAGTAGTTAGCATGTGCAGTGCATTTCGGTATGTAGGGTTGTTAGGATTCTGGCTCAGTAAGCTGTAACCTGCAACACCACGTGGAGAGTCACAGACCATCCGCTCATTTGTCCGATTTGGAAAAGTTGAAAGCCATTTTACAAACCCAAGCAGCTCACAAGAGCAGTTGAAAGGGTTTGTGTACAGCTCACAAGTGGTGAGTTTGTTTAGACTGGCAAACGTGGACCCATCTAACTGCTGTATTCGATTCATTGAGAGATCAATGTTTTCTATGTTGGGGCATTCCCAAAAGGCATTAGGTGTCACAGTTTCAATCAAGTTTGCCTGGAGGTAGAGGTACTGCAGCTTTCCTAAACCCCGGAGAATCCCCTCTGTTAGATTTCGTAACTTGTTGAAGCCCATTTGGAGAACTTGCAAGTTAAACTGTGCAGAAAAGGCTCCATCCTCTACGTATGAGATTTCATTCTTGGTCAGGTTTAGGTAGGTCAAGTTGGCAAAGCGACTGAGAGAGGAATAATGAATGCTTTTGATTTTGTTTTCATTCAGACGAAGGTCAACAATGGTGTTATTGATATGCTGTGGGATGGCCTCATAAGGCGGTTGATTTTGGCTGCAAATCGCAAGCCATACAAAGCCCTTTTCACCCTCAATTAACCAACAATCACCATTTACTCCTTCAATGTGAGTCAAACATACAACAGTAACAGACCAAAACAAGGCACTCATCACCATGCCTGATCTGCAGGCCATTTGTGCTTCTCTGAAAGTCATGTATAGGGCCGAAAAAAACAAGGGGGCTTAATACCACGGTTTCAGTACTTTGATGTGATCCTTCTATTGAATCAGCAGGATGTTCAACTGTTCTCAGAGCCAGAATAATTGCTTTTACTTGTCTTGCTTTTACTGATGGATGTGTGATGACACATATTGTCCCCATGTACCAATCAAAAAAATGTTGACTGTCTTCTTTCAACTTCTTCTCAATGAGATATGCTTGTTGGAAACTTGAGGCGACGTTCAAAAGGAGATTTCACCACCTTAGCTTGTCTGGAACTTTTGTCCTCAGAGGCTACCATAATTAAATTGTCTCATCTTGGTGATTCTGGCAGTTCTCTCTTTTCTCTGTCTCTCCCATGTGCACAGATGAATAACCTGCAATATAAAAAAATAAGAGAAGAAAGTGGATGAGCTTGGATAATAACTTATGAAAGATATTAATGTTGATAATAAAATGTAACATATGAAAAGGGAATTCGTGTTCACTCAAGCCCTTCTTATTTGCTCTTCACCAATTATTTTGTACACAGTTTAAGAAGTGTTTGCAGTCTCTGTGGCACACTGCTATTAAAGGAAACTGTTGGCCAATTACCATCTGACAGGTTGAGGAAAGCATGGTCCCTGTTTTCACACCATTAACCTGAGGACTGTCAGGCGGGAGGTCCATGTTAAGAAGCAGTGTTAATTCACATACACAGCATCATGTGAAGTGACAGTTTGGATCAATGTATTTAGCAATTTCCACTGAGAACCTTTTGCACACATTAAATGTCTCAAATGATTGGATTATATCAGGGAGATAGATCATATACCATGATCATGAGTTTTTTTTTTTTATGTTATAGTAACAGAATCAATTAAAGATAAATAACTTCAGCCTGTGCAAGGGGTGGTTACACAATAAAAAATATGTAATGCAGTAAACAAGTATTACCTCTACAGATTGCTTCTATTTTTTCTTGTTTTTTTTAATCACATGCGAGTGATTTAGAAACACTCAATTAACCTTAGGGAATACAAATTGTAGTTTTTGAATAGTGATTTTTCTTTTTATGAAGGCAAAAGAAATATAACATGGCCCTATGTGCAAACGTTCATTTCCCTAAACCTAATAACAGGCTGTGCCAACCTTGGCACAAGCATCTAATCAATTGCATTGATGAGAGCAGTTTTAGTTTCTTTCGGGCCATTCTGTAGCATCTCAACCTAAAAAGACATTTCAGATAGATCCATTAATTACAACATGATGTGTGTGTATTGAAAAAAGCAAAGCTGCCCCAGACGGCGGCTCTGGGATAAGACTAAATTGTTAGTTTTATTCCAGATGTGATGGGGTGGAGCTTCTAAACAGCTTTTGTTCTTGTCTTGTCAGTTTACAGGTTATATTACTAAACAATTTGGGTATTTTTAAGAATATGAGACCAGTGTTTGTGTTCATCTTGCTCAGCAGAGTATTATGTAATAGAATTCTTCCACTTATAACACTTTAACTAACTTTCTGTGTTATTTCAGAATCATGGAGGCTGTTCTTAATTGAGGTAAGTGAGGCCTTAAGTGCTTTAGATGTTCAGTTTTCATCTGTGACCTTCTTGATGAGCTGTAAATGAGCTTTTGGAGGCTGGCCACCCCTGGGATTGTTTACTGTTGCAGTGTTATCCATTTGTGGAAAATGGCTCACATCGTGTTCACTAGAATCGAAACCCACAGATGTCTTTGGTACCGATTCCAGACTGAGAGATGTAATCATTGTAAATGTTTTTTGTTTTTTTTAGTTTCTTAGTTTCTTCAGATCAGAGAAAGAAAATAATCTTTTGTTTCTTTATACTTCTCTCCAACTTCATATTGGCGACATTCCATTGTCAGAGAGGTTTTATCCAAGCAGGTTTGTGATTCTAAAGATCAGGGAGTGAGAAATACTCCTCCTCCAGAAGAAGGGTCATTGCTAAAAAGAGTATCAACTTGTGTTGCCTTCCACATACTTATGTAGTCTACCTCAATAACCAGATGAGATTATGTGTATCGCTAAAGGTAATTTGTCTTTCAGTTTGTGCATCCTTATGAATCCCGTGTTTTGGGAGGCCCTAAATGATCTTTTTCAAAACAAGGTCCCCAGTGTTAAAATAAAATGTCAAAATGACAGATTTGTTGTTTACATGTGTTTTCTGCGTTTTTTTTTTTTTTTTGGAATATATATTTTCTGAAAAGGTGACATTGAACCTCCATCTCTTACTGTACTGTAAGTTGCATTAGCCGAGCTGTCACAAATAAAAACAACCGTGGTACTGCTTGCTGTACATATATAAGAGCTTTTTTATGGTTGTTAATAATTTCCTGTGATTCTTCCTTTTTAGAGAACCTACTCCACATAGCATGTCCCCTGCCAAAAGGCATAAAGGTCACACTGAACATGCATACATTTTTGTATATGATCCTGCTCCATGTTGCTTCCTTCTACTTCACACAACCTCCCTGCACATGGCTAGGATTTTTCTAATTTTTTGTGGCATTGTCAAAGCATCACCAGCAGGCCTAACATACCTGCTCCAGCTGTTTATGTGATTCTGCATCCTCTTGAATTGACGCACCTAATTTCTCAGCCATTTATATATATTTTTTTTGTGCATGGACAGAGATTGAGAATCCAGAGGCACAAAGGACCATTGACAGTGTTTTGAATTAATTAGAGTTAATTACAGTATGTGTTCTTGAAGTTTATGTTGAACCATAAAAGATGAACAACAATACCAGTTTAAACCTTTTAACTACTTGCTAAAAATTGTGGTCTGTAAGCATAAAGCCAGGCATTGGTGTAAGGAAACTATACTGATAGTGCTTCTTCTCAATAACTATGTTTACATTTACATAAGTAATCCGAATAAATGGCCAATTAGTCAAATTATTTGTGGTGTAGACATTCTAGTCGAACTATTCTAATCAGATTCAGCAATATCTTAATGAAAATGTAAATGTCTGACTGAGAGGATTGTTGTATACTAAATGACAATGTGATCAACATCCATTTAAATGCTCCTCAGGATCAAGTTATTCTGAACGAGTCATTATTGTAATGTATTTTTCACCTTGAGTAGCTAGATGATATGTCAGAATGCTCCAACTGTGATGTTTACATGACACACTTTTAGTCCGATTGGCCATTTTATTCAGATTACATATGCCCATATAAACAGTATTAACCAATTTTTTTTTGTTTCCAAATCTTAATATATTGCCTCTTAAATTCTACGTATATAAACATAGCTAGTGCTTTTGTCAGTGTCATGTGGCACCATCCATGCTTTCTTCAAGAGAATGGGCTATATTTTTACAAAAAGCATATTCTGCAGTCTGACATTCCCTGAAAGCTTCCAGCATCCATATGTACAAAATTCAAGATGCTTTGTTAACATGATTCCAATACAGCATTGTTAAAACATATGAAAGCAAACCTAAAATAAAACATAAGATATTATAAAACCAGTTAAAGTACAGCAACATCAGTTGGATGTACACCAGCTAATGTCAGCAAACAACTGTAATGTTTATCTTTATCTTTTAAAATTGCTGTTGCTATGAAGTCTAATGCCTGAACATGTGTCATTATCTTTAATGTGAATAAAAACTACAATGCAGGCACAACACTAGTAATGCAAAAGAGGTTTACTCAGTCTCAAATGGAACAAAACTAAGTGAAACCAAAAGTATAAATTTGTAATGAAGGGCTATGTAGCAATTACAAAGTTTAGGATTCCTAAATGGCTGATGTTAAGGTTAATGCTGTGTCCACACAGGTTGCATTTTTTTTCTTTACAGCTTTTTTGCTGTCTCATTGCCACTCTAGCTACTGCAGGTGGTACAGTCAATGGCAAGCAGGGGAAAATTACAGTCTCCACCCACTTTGAAAATAGGGGGGGAAAATGAGTGTTTTCAATTCGCGAAGATGTCAAAAAGACAAAGAAACAGATAATTGGAGAAGAGAATGATTGTAAAGGATGTGTAAAATGAACTAAATGTATTTGGAGGGGCCAAGACCCTTTAGAGCGAGCCAGACCAGGGAAAACACTGGACCAAGCAGCATGGCTACGGCAGGTCAGAAATACATGTCCCTATCATCACAGCCCAGACATGGCAAAGAACATTAAAGACAGACTATTGACAATGTTACACTATATATGTATAGGTAATTAGTCTGTTTTATCAATCCGAATGAAAGTCTACCCATTCTATGACTGACCAGGCAAGGGCCCACACATTTCTTTGCTGCAAAAGGAAATATTCTGGAGATAGGCCATGTTCAAAGTTATAAAGATAATATTTGAATAAATATACACCCTGTTATCCAGTTCTCTTTCAACTTTAATACAGAACTATTTTACCAGCCCAATAAAAGATAAAATAATAAGAAAACAAAATAATAGAGGAAAGTCGAATGATTCACTTAGACCAGTGTCAGTCGTGGCCATATAACCATAATAGAAACAATAATGGCAATGATAATATTTTCAATAATAATTTAAAATAATTTCGAGCAAGTAGGCTACATCTTATTTGATTGTAGAGTTTAAGGGGCCTAGACAATGTTGCAAATTATAAAACAATAATGATGTGTTTTACTGTGGGTTACAAGGGAGAAAATGTATCTTTATATGTCTTCACTTGAATTTTTTCAGCTAACAGAAAATGGCATGTTTGATCCAAAATGGCCAGCTTCCTGTGGGGTTTAGACCAAGGCTCCAAGAGACTTTTTTGTGCATCTGTCGGGTTATACATGTGAACCAAATTTCAAAATCCTCACTTAAAGTATGGCCTGAGGCTTTTTAGTTACCGTACTAGTAGTTGTTAGTTGTAATCATGCAAGCCTTGCTTTTCCTTTAATGGTCAAATTTCTATTTAAAATGCCAAAAAAAGACAAGCAGCTCTTATGCTTACAATTTTTTTTTTTCAAAGTTCAGTTCTCCTTAGTTCACACAGTGTTACGAAATTATCAGCGACGATGCTTAGATAATCAAGTAAAAGCCCTGGTCAGCTTTTCGAGTACAGTTAAAGTGCAGCAATAAATGGTGTCGTGAATACTGCAACAGACTGCCAAAGGCTGCCATTATAAAACCACCTTCATGATGACAAAAGAGCAGTGGCACAGGAGCACTGAAGAAAAAACATTCTCAAAACCCCTGAGAGGAAAGAGGTTCCAAATCAAATGTTCCATGAAATGAATATGAAAAATACAGCTCTGCAGAATATCTAGCCAAGCAAAAAGATATTCTAAAGAAAAAAAGGGGCCTTGTTACTGTTCCTCAGTCTATGACCTTTATTGCAAATACAGCATGGCAGAGATTGAGCTCATCTGACCTGGCCTCCGCTTGCTCACAGCGTGGTAA